TATTGAACTATCATCAAAATACGGTAGAGTTTGTTAATAGTTCAATATGATATATTTACATCAATCTTTGAGTTTGTATATTTCATTTGTACATATATACCTTCAATTATCGAAACCAAATCCTTTTTCAGTACTGTCGCATTTCCTAATCATGGGACATACTAAAAGCATTGATTTTGATTTCATAGGAACCAAATCATCTTTTGAAAAATCAATGCTGTCTCCTTCGCTAATATGGAACATACTGAAAACATTCATTTTGGATTCCATTTGATCTAATACTAGTAAATTTTATTCTGTTGGATTGGTGAAGTTGTTGGGTTCCTGCCGTCGTCAATTATATGACACTAAGGAAAAATAAATACAATTAAAAGATCCTTTAGCCCATCGCATGGTTCAGAACAAGTAAAATGCTTCAGGGCTGCGTTTTGAAACTTGATTATGGAAAGCGTTGAAATTATATATTGCCATAAAAGCACGTGTCTACATTTCTGAACTTTCAGATACCGATGAAAACTACATCCATTAATAAATTATACATTCTATTATACTATTTTTATAAGTAGTATTAATAATACAATTAACATAATAAATAATACCGAGTAGATATATTAGATTGTTCTACACATAAAAAATGATACAAACTCCATAATTTTTTTTTATTTCCTTAGAAAAATAAAAGTATTTAATTCTCATTTATATATTTAAGGTAATAATAATTGAAATATAAAGAAATGCAAGTCAAAAGTAGATAGTACTTGTACGTATTGACCATCAAAGTTTGATAAATCGGTGACAACATCACTAAAGGATGAAGTAAGTTGATTATTTGGACTTGTGAAATAGTGGACTTTTTAAAATCAATTATTAAAATTAATTAAGATAATTCTATAACTAAAAAATAGTTATTTTTCGTTGAATAATGATATACCGAATACATCATACCATCAATCCAATAAGACATATATAGAACAATACAATATAGTATTGAGGTACGTACAAATTGGTCTGAACACCCCCGTAATAAAAAAAAAAAAATAAATCTTCGTTACTATATAATGTAGTGAGATCATTAGAATTCTCTTAGGGAAACACGTCTACGAGTTCAGATTTAAAACTTATTAATCATCTATTTATAAAATTAGATAAATCTTAGTCATTTATATTTATACAAGTCTTTCTAGTCAAGGGAGACGTGTAGCCGCTGTTTAAACGATCCAAATTTCATCTTATTGAATCATATTTCTTTCCTTTTCCTTTCACGTAACGTCTCAGGTACACGCATTTGATGATCCCTGTTACACCTTTTCCAAAAACTGTAATGCCTTAATCCAATTGAGAACATCGCTCAAGAGCTCTTCACCAGATTCATAATATTTATGAACTTCTGTAACATCTTGTCCAATACCATCAAATTAATCTTATTTGGATTTCCAGCAATTGGAATTAGAAGAAGAATAATGATTTTGGTGACTGGGTTCTTCTAGCAACTGATTCAGTTTTCTCTAGGTTTTATTTTGGTGAAGCAAGGCCTGTTTTCGTTGTGGGTTTGCTGATTTTTGTATAGACCTTCTAGAGGCTAGTTTTTTGGTACATAAGGATTGAATATCCTTGTTCCCCTTTGTTGTTTGTGTAGTTTGGTTCCTTGGACCTGTCCGAGGAGCTTGGCTTCTAAAGGGAATTCCCTTCTTTAGGTTGTATCTTTCATTATTTATAAATTACCGATGATCCAAAAAAAAAAAAAAAAAAAAAGATGAATTACGATTGTAATTTAACAAAGATGTATAGTAGTTCATTCATGAATTGAACATTCATTTGCTAGTACAATAGGCTTTATTTATTGAAAACGTTCAATCATCTTATTCGGTGACAAATGAGATAGCACTAACTAATTAGTAAGGGTTCTGCCATTGTAATTGCCTGGGGGAGCATAGTTGCAACCGATGAAAGTTCCACCATTGTTGCACCTCACCTTGGCACACCCAATGCGAACCGAAGTCGGCCAAACTACTGAGTGTAGTGGCCGCAAGCCTTGCTGCAGCACAAGTATTAGAGTTGTAGTCATAATCGGCCTTCTATTGAACCACATTTCACAGCATTCGTTCCTGAAAGGTCAGCGCTGCCCATGCAAGGTTCTCACGTATTTCCACCACCACGCAGGTGGACGAGAGCGCAATCGCGATACGTTGATTAGCCTAGTTTTGTGCAAAGGCAGCTACCGTGTTGTCCCAAGTCACAGGCCCAACACCGACGGTCGCACGAGCTGAATTGTGGGCATTGACGTAGTCTGTTGGGAGTTTTGTGCATAGGAGGGGAAGACGGGGCTAACCCATGAGACACAAAAGAGAGTGGCAATTTTGATCGAAACAATTTTGTTTTGAGAGATTTGTAACGCAAAGAAAAAATGTTAGTGATTGATGAAAAAATGAGAGGAATAGAGGGGTATTTATAGGGGAGAAGGCGTGGAAAATTGTTGAATCCATTTGCTGATCAAGTGAAATAGGTAAAAAGGATAAAAATATTTAATGTCACCTTCAATGAAAGTTCAACGTTTGATAAAATCAACTTCAACGTTTACTTCCAAGAGGAGCAAATTGATAAACATTGGATTGGATTTTTTAAATGACAGGAAACAGTGTTATGCTTATTTTTCCAAATAAATAAATTATATATTATAAAACATTTATGTTCAAAATATATATGGTCTCTATTGACTGCTTCTTTGTTTATGATTCAGTTTTCACACATACACTGTTACAATAATCCATATAAATATTCTCGTTTATGAAAATTAGATTTTTTTTATAGGAATTATTGAAAATTTAGACCTTAAAGTTATTATAGAGAATGAAATCTAATTAATATTTATTTTAATTATTAATGTTATCTTGGGATATATTCATAATCAGAAGATGGCAATAATAAGTTATTTTCTACATGTGAGGTGAGGACTTTCTTCATAGTGAAAATAAGACAAAGATACCAAATAATTTTGTAAATTAACCCTAAAATCTTATTTATGACTATAAAAATGGTCCACATGAGCAACTTTCTTAAGTTGACTAATCATTTACCTCCAAAAATCATTATCATGGACTCGTCAATTTCGTAGTTTTGGAATAGCAGACGTTCAGCCAACCCTAGACTTTTCCTTTCCATAGTTACAGGTATAATTTCCATATTACATCACAAAATTATAACAATTTTGTTGTTTTACTATACATATTTGTAGAATTCTCTCTTTTTTTTTTTTTTTTTTTTTTTTTTTTTTTTTTGTGTACATAAATCTTTTAGAGTTTAAGCACTATAAACATGGACCACATAGCAACTTTCCTAAGTTGGCTAGTCATTTACCTCCAAAAATCCATTATCATGGACTCTTCAATTTCGTTTTGATGAGACAATTAAAGATAGGAATAACAGACGTCTTCGGCTAACCCTAGACTTTCCTTCCATAGTTACAGGTATAATTTCCATATTACATCACAAAATTATAACAATTTTGTTGTTTACTATACAATATGTTAGAATTCTCTCTTTTTTTTTTTTTTTTTTTTTTTTTGTGTACATAAATCTTTTAGAGTTTAAAGCACTATAACATGGACCACATTAGCAACTTTCCTAAGTTGACTAGTCATTTACCTCCAAAAATCCATTATCATGGACTCTTCAATTTGTTTTGATGAGGCAATTAAAGATAGGAATAGCAGACGTCTTCGGCTAACCCTAGACTTTTCCTTTCCATAGTTACAGGTATAATTTCCATATTACATCACAAATTATAACAATTTTGTTGTTTTACTATACAATATTTGTAGAATTCTCTCCTTTTTTTTTTTTTTTTTTTTTTTTTGTGTACATAAATCTTTTAGAGTTTTGAAGCATCTAAACATGGACCACATTAGCAACTTTCCTAAGTTGATAGTCATTTACCTCCAAAAATCCATTATCAGGACTCTTCAATTTCGTTTTGATGAGGCAATTAAAGATAGGAATAGCAACTTTCCTAAGTTGACTAGTCATTTACCTCCAAAAATCCATTATCATGGACTCTTCAATTTCGTTTTGATGAGGCAATTAAAGATAGGAATAGCAGACGTCTTCAGCCAACCCTAAACTTTTCCTTTCCGTAGTTACAGGTATAATTTCCATATTACATCACAAAATTATAACAATTTTGTTGTTTTACTATACAATATTTGTAGAATTCTCTCTCTTTTTTTTTTTTTTTTTTTTTGGGTACATAAATCTTTTAGAGTTTAAAGCACTCAAAATCAGGTATTTCTTATTTTGAGAAACAAAAAAATTGTACCCAATGCAAATGAAATTACCCATAATTTATGTAGTTAATATTTCATTATCTTCATTTGTGGTTATAAGTCGCGATTTTTTCATATTGGCATGTTTCATCATCTAGAAAGTTGATTTTTCTGTTTTTGATTGGGTCCCCAGCGATGGCTCATTAATTAACGGACAAAATTTTAGGAATATGGAGCATAAATTATGGGAACAGATTGAGCATAAATGTAGGAATATTTCATTAAAAACGCTTAAGTCAAGAGCATAGATGGACTGGCTGTGCATAATTGACTCATAAAAGTTCATATGGAAGAAAACACGTGTATGCAGAATAAGTTACTGATTTTTCTTTGTTGATTTCAATTAGATAAACATTATTTACCATGTATTTATCACGAAAACTGGTCCAATTTGCAATGACATTAGGCATCAGTTTTGATTAAGTCAATATGCCTTAAAAAAGTTAGGAATTTAACCATTGCAATAAAAAATATTGGCTGTAGATATAGTTGGCTTAAAATTTTTACTTCAACCGAGAAAATAGAGAGAAAAAGACAAAAAATTAAACAAAAATTAAAATTTTTCTTTTGCTAGTCAAAGGAAAATGAAGAAAGTGGGAATGTAAAAAATTTATATAAATGGGATTCTTTCATTTTGATCTATAGTTCCTACCATTGCAACAGGTTGAGGAATAAGCGATGGAGCTAATCATGGAGTGAAAGAATTAGCATATCATCTTTTTCTTTTTTTCTTTTTTCTCATATTGATTACTGAATTACACTCTCTTGCACCTTTCCTTGTTTTCACAAAAACAAATAATCTTCTAATTTAACTTATTTTATTTCATAAACATAAACTTCTGCTTCATACAAGATGTAGCCACTTCTAAAACTTCCAATCAATATTGATTAAGACATACATTTTCTTATGCTATGCCTCAATAAGGACGTTCACCTTCAATATTCCCTGGAGGATAATAACTGCAAATGACAAACCACCATCCATTCTGGCACTTCACCCTCCCACAGCCAAGTTGAGTCGATTTTCGCCAAACAACCTGAGTGTAATGCAAGCACTCATCGCCAACACAAGAATTTGATGCATAATCATAGTTAGGTTTCTCGCTAACCCACATCTTCACCGCGTCCATTCCATTCAAATTACCATAACCTTCTGCCAAGTTCTCTCCGTAAGGCCCCATGGAATGATCCAAGTCGCAGTCTCCCCTTCTTTGATCGGCGTAATTTTGAGCGTAGGCAGCCACCGAGTAGTTCCAAGTAATCCGACCAACCCCCACATGAGCACGAATCGCATTGTGTGCATTGACGTAGTCTTGGTGGGAGTTTTGTGCTTGTAAAATGTAAGCTAGGGTTAGATAAATGAAGTAGATAACGATTAAGAAATTATTGAACCTCATATTTTTCTTTTTTCCCCTATGGAATGTTAGATTTCAATGTGAAAGAGTCAAGAAGAAGCTTATTATATATATGCAGGCAAACTCATTATATTGCTCAAATGAAGCCTTTGATTGTGCTGTGTTGCCCTAATGACAAGTAAGTAAATGAATTTATTATAGAAGCTTTTAATCAAAAATGAATGTTGCACTCAAAACAAATTAGGATTTACAGCATGCCTAACATGATTATATTAATTGTTATAAGCCTGTGATTAAGAGGGTGTTTGTATAAGCTAATCAAACTAGTTTATAAGCTTTAAAATTAAGTTAACCTGTTTGTTTATAACTTTTTTGAGCTTATAAGTTGAGCTTATAAAAAAAAAAAAAAAAAAAAATTAAGCTAGTTTGACAAAGTATATTATCACATTATCCTTGTTTAATTTTAAAATTCTATAGTATACCCTTATTTAATGTAGTACCATTTTTAGTCATTTTATAATAAAATGTACTTATAAGCTACATTTTACCAAACACGTCAACTATTTATCAGTCACTTATAAGTACTTTAACCAAACACATAATTGCTTAAAATTTCAAATGCTTATAAGCTAAGATTAGCTTATAAACACTTATTGCTTATAAGCTAATTTTCATAAGCTCAGACAAACACCCTTTAAGTTGCTGCAATCACTACCCTAATAAGCCAAAAGAATGTGATTCACTTTAGAATTTGTAGTATCTGTATGTGTATGGATTAGAACCTGAATTTGGATGAGCTTTAATTAATTAAAACTTTGAAAGGTTTTATAATTCAGTCAAATTTATTTTTTAAATTATATATTTATATATAAGAGAAAAAAATTAATCTAAAGAACCTACTTTTATGAGTTCTCTTATGTATTTTTATGATGTGAAAACCAATCTTGTCGAGTGAGAGATTAGCCGGGTAAGATATCACAATTACTGATGATTTATTTTCTAATTTCTTTGTAGATATACTGGTCAATGTCTTGTAAACTAAAAGAAATCCAATTCATGTTCTAGCCAGATACTCATTAATGAGTATTCACTATTTAAGAAAGATTTTATTTTGAGATTTAGTTGTAGATATGAACGGTCAAATTATTAGTCACATCTAATTATGACTGTTTTATCATCATTGGGTGACCTAATGATAAAAGAGCAAATGAAGATTTAATATATCGTCTCTCAAGTTTGAGTCTCATAAAAGAGCAAAAAGAGTATCTAACATGCTTTCTTAAGTTCGAGTCTTCTTAATATTAAAAGAGCAAGCCTTGAGTTCGAGTTCCCGCGACTGCTAATAGGAGTAGTCACTAGAGTTCTTATCCAGTTGGTAATTCTAAGATTTTAGAGAATTAGTTGAGGTACACGCAAATTGACCCGAACACCTCCTACCATAAAAGAAATTACGACTACTTAATATTAAATTTTTTTATATCACTCTTACTTTTATCCACTGAAAACTTGATTAATTAGTATATGGTCTATTGCAACTTTGAATGTGACCCACCGTTGTGAATACATAATACATAATTTTTTTTTATATTTTATACTCCACATTTCACGGGTCTAAAACAGAAAATTTTAACTTTGCTTTTCAATGTTGATGACTTTTGAGGCCATATGCGAAAATGACTTTGCTAGTGAAAATGGGTTTATATACATGGCAAGAGAATGTGTTTTATATTTTACTTAAATTTAATTAAAGTAAATATTTGTTCTTCATTAATTCAACCACAGATTCAATTATTTGCTAATTTGTTTGGTGATTTTTTTGAAATGTTGTAAGCATTTACAGCTCGGAAGAAAATTATGCAGACGTCGACTGGGATAATCTTGGATTCAGTTTAACTACAACTGATTACATGTACATAATGAAATGCTCAATGAAAGAAAAACTTTTCACGAGGACATCTTACCAACTATGGCAACATAGAAATCAGCCTTTCTGCTGGAGTCCTAAACTATGGACAGGAGGACACCAATTTAATTTGAGAGCAGCCATAATGATAATGTGTTGGACTTAGCATTAATTGAGAGACAAATTGCTTCTTTAATGGTGGTATCTTTAGGGTTTGTTTGAAGGTCTAAAGGTCTATGGAAAACCAGATGGTAGAATTAAGCTCTTTCGGCCAGAACATAATGCTCTGCGGATGCAAGCCAGCGCAAGGAGATTAAGGATGCCGTCACCATCAGTTGATCAATTTGTCGAAGCTGTAAAGCAAGTTTTCCTGGCCAACAACCATGAACTAATAATTATTCTAATATTGTAAAACGGAAAATTGATCTGATACTTCTAATATTGTAAAACGGAAAATTGATCTGATACTATAAAACTAGTAACTAATGCTGAACTGATCATAAATGTTAACTGATACATTAATAGATATGATCAACACATATCAAGTGATTAAACAGTCAAACATACACCCTTCTTGATAAAGGACTTTTGTTATGAATGTGCTTCCTAGATCCTATAACATTGTAATCTCTGTTATGACCTTTATTTCTTGCAAAATTTGGAAACAATGGTACCCATCAAAACTAAATTCTGAAAATAGTTACAAGAATCGGATGACTAATAGTTGAACAATATAATTTACATAAACATTTCAAATGTTTTCTTTTAAAATACAACTCATTAATTGTACATAAAATTGCATGACAGTAATAAGTCACAAGAACCAATCAATTATGGAAACATCTTCTTGCAAGTGTAATACAAGAGTGATTGTAAAAAAACCTTNACTCTAATAAGCCAAAAGAATGTGATTCACTTTAGAATTTGTAGTATCTGTATGTGTATGGATTAGAACTTGAATTTGGATCTTCTAGGATCCAAGCTTTTATTAATTGAAACTTTGAAAGGTTTTATAATTAAGTCAAATTTATTTTTTTAATTATATATAAGAGAAAAAAATTAATCTAAAGAATCTACTGTTGGTAATGTAGGGGATAATCCGATACCCTCCCCCAGGGGTTTTATAAAAGATTACCAGGTAATCTAATTTTTATACCTATTTTGCCCTTAATTAAAAACTATTTCAGACACAATTGCCCTCAAATGTCTACCAAATAACAATAGCCCAGCCCCCCTACATTTGAGAAATTAGCTAAAATAGCCCAACCACAAAAAAGTTTAAAAGTTAACAAAATATCCCCAACCACCCAAGACCACCGTTGATCGTTACTCACCACCCTTGGTGTCAATTGCTGTAATGGTGCACGATCATCGAGATCTGGCCGATCGTGCATCGGTAAGGCCATTTTCGATCATGAATTTGTGATCCATGATCAGAAATAGCCAAATATGGCCATTTCACGGCCACAAATCTGGTAGTTTCACAGCCAGATCTACAACCGTGAAACGACCACATCTTTGGCTATGAAATGGCCATAGATTTGGCCATGAAATGGCCATGGATTTGTAATCCATGGCTGGAAATGGCTTTGTCAACACACGGCCGACCATATACGTTCAATCATGTGCCATTTCGTCGACTGTCGACGACGACCGGCAGTCGTGGCTAGCTGCCGACAGTGGCTTGTATGGGTGGGGCTGATTTTGCTACAAATTAAAGTTTTATATGGCTGGGGTGTTTTAGCAAAATTTCAAATGTAGGGGGTTAAAAGAAACGATTCAAAAAATAATAATAATAAAAAATTATATTAATATTTAAAAAGGAAGGCAATCTAGTAATCTATATAACATACCGATCCATTTATCCTCCCAACCAAACATATTATTCACTAATTTATTCAAACCAACCAGATACATTTCCTAAACATTCACAATAATCTTCGAGGTGATGTATATTTCCATTAATATAACATTCCCTTATAATATAACATAATATGATCCAAATGTCCCCATATAGATATTCATATTTCCTAGGTCTCTTTATTATTATTTTTATTTTTTTATTTTTGTTTCTTTTCGTGATATATAATCATATTGCCATACACCTCTTCTAGTCTTACTAATATAAATTGAATTGCACAAGTATTATTGCTTACAAAGCTTGGTTAATAATATTTGTTGTGCATGATTTTGTCTAACGACCAGATTCATGTGACCTGTCTAAAAACCATACTAGGAGCTAGCTATCTAAATCTTCCCCACGTATCACACCCATAACGCATGACTTAACCTATAAGCTCACTAGTCCTAAGCATGGGCATTTTGACTTAAGTATGGGTGAGGGCTGACTCAAATCTAGATTATGGGGAATTATGCGTGTAATCCATCCCATAATACCAATTTCCAACCATTGTTAGACAGTGTGTATAAAAGGGAGGCAACACCTCCGTTTTATGGATCCTGGATTAAATACACTTAAACACAGAAAACCATTTTACAGAGTGCATCAGCTTGCTATTACTTGTTTTCTCCTATAATCATCTAATTTAATGTCCAGTTATAAGCAACAAGATTGCAGTGGACGTAGGCTTGGTTCTAACCCGTCGAACCACTTCAAAAACCTCTTATTTACTTCCATTGTGGATTTTTTGATCTATTTCAGGCTGGTTATTTATAATCATAGGCGACTATTTATAATCATGTGCACATCCTACAGGGTGAGCATGGGTAAAGGGTGAAACCAGAATCGGTGGGTACCTACTCACTGGTTCTGGGTAGGAACTAAAACCGGTCTCATTAGGGTCCAATTTCAGTTCTAAAAAATTGAAACCGAAAATTCACGGGTCCAGTTCCTATAGTGTTGGAATCAAGAACTAGAACTAGAACTGAGGTCTGGGTACCCAAGTAGGAACCAAGACTAAATTGTAATTTTTGTAAATTGTTGGGGTGTACTGGTAATTTTTGGGGGTATATTCATCATTTTTTAAAAGTAAAGGGTAACTAAATTAGCCCGGGTACCCAGAACGGGAACCTATATTTCAGGTTTTTGTTCCAAGTTTTTAGGAACTGGTTCTGGTTCCAATTCCGTCAAAAATTGTAGGGTACTCGGAACCGCTCACCTCTAAATTCCTACCCAGTCCCGTTGTGGTCGATTGAGTATCTC